TTAAGTTTAAATTTAGCTATTTATTTTTATTAATTAAATTTACTTTTTTGAAGGTATCTACATTAACATTGTTGTTCTATGTGGTAATTTTAATTATAAATTATTCTATTTTGGCTAATATTTAAAATATAATTTTTACCTTAGATTATTTTTATACAATCTTTACTTCATCAATATTATTATTAACTTATTTAATTATATCTGTTTATATTTATTTTTCATTAGAAAATGATCTATTTCTTGAAGATAATTAACTGATAGTTAACCTTGAATGATTTACTATTTGATTATTTTAAATATTAATTAGTTACTATTAAGAATTATTGTTGTTAACTTAATTACTAATTGTAGACATGTTATTTGATAGCAATTAATTTTATAAACTATTATTTTAATTTAAACTATTGATTGATTTATTATTTATATCTTAAATAGAATTTTCATTATATTATTAATAGTCTACATCTGTATTTAATTTTTAATTAGCTGGAATAAAAATAGTTTCACAATCCAATTATCTTTCATTCAATTATTATAAATCTTTTTTTTTAATTTTATTTATTTACTCTGGATTCATTGAACTTTATTTCTTCATCATTAATTTAATATTATTTCTTACAGAATTTACATCATTTTATTATTATTATGTAAATTAGAGAGACTTTATATCATTCTAAATATAATAAATATATATTTACTTAGAGATGATTAATCTTTTCAAGAATATCTGTTTATTAAAATGCTATATTTTACTGTTTTTGTTTGTATATTTACATAAAAATACCTTCTTTTTAAGGTGAAACTGAATATTACTAAGCTACCTTTATTGATTATGATTATACTGGGTTTTTCTTATATAATATTATATCAACCAAATACTACCTTAATGTTATTAAATATTTGAATTTTCAAATTTAGAATGTTGTCTTGCTCTAATTTCTTCTAATTATTTCTATACAAGTTATTCAGCTTTGGCATCTTCTATTCTTTTTCTATCTTATTCTTATTTGTTTAACTTCTTCTTTTCTTCGATTTGTTTTAATAAATAATCTTTTAACCTATTTAGACATAATAGAACTATCTACTCTTATTTTTTTTATTCTTTCTCTACTAATTAATTTGGATTTTCATTCATTTATTAAAAATTCCCTTTAATATTATAAGCATTTTATAATTTCTCTACTGATCTATTCTATTCAATTGAAATATTTTGTTTGTATGATAAAGATCGATCTCTATCATTTTGGAATAAATTGCTTCTTCTTGGAATAGAATTATTTGCTTAAGCTCTATCAGAGTTATTGTTTAAAGATAAGTTTAACTATTCTTTTTAATTACTTGATGGAAATAAGGCTAATTAAAATAAACTTCTTTTTAAATTCTGCATTGACGATTAATGAGAATTTAACATATCTAAAATATTATATTAATTAACTTTATGCTGCTGCGTAAAACATCGTTTTTTTAGGATTAGAACTTAATGTATTCATCTAAAATTAAATATATAAATTTATATAAAAATTTTAAAGTAATTATCAATTAATTATTTTTTTTGTATTTGATGGAGTAGCACTTCTTTTTTAAATAGATTTTGAGAGTTATAATAAAAGTTAATTTGGAGGCATATTTTAACAATTAGATTTCCCTTTATTACATATTTAATGAATTTTATTGAGTACATTCTCTTATTTTTAATATTAGTATTTTTCAAGAAGATCTTTGATTTCAATTAAAGTAGTATCAAATTGAATTTATTTTTATTTCAATTATTATTGTAAATCTATTACTTAGAATTCTTTTTTTTCATATTTTGTTTATAAGTTCTCAAGATCAATTATAGATTATTCAAATAATTCAGTTACTTTATGGTATTCTTCTCCATCTACTTTTTCTTATTAAAATATTCTTTCGTACTCATCTATCATTTATAAGTATTCAATTGATTATTATTATAATTTGGATTAAAACTATTTAGATTAATTTAATGTTAATTATAATTCTGTTTTCTAGTTATTTAATTATTCATTTAATAATTGTAATTATTCTATTTGTTTTTTTAATTCAGCTATTTGTTAACTCATCTCTTTTATTTAAGATTATTATTCACTAATTTTTTGGGTCATTTTTTATGTTATTTAATAATTTTCTTATATGGCATTTTAAATTAATTATGTTTATGAGCAATAAATATTTTATTAATTTTACAGAGATTGATATTCATCTTAATCTATTAGTTAAGTATAAATTTTAGATATTTCTTAATGAGTAAATATTTATTGAGTATACATAAAAATTTGATGTTCAGCAATTTGTAGTTATAATATGCTATTTTATTTTTAGGATTAATCCCAAATTTCAAATTCAAACAATATTTATTATATTCCTTATGTAATTGGTTCATCAATGCATTTAGAATATGTTTCAATTAATAATTTAAAGCTTTCATTAATATGAAATAGAAAATCCTTAAATTTGGCTTCTCTTTAGAGTGATAATTCTAATTCATTTTTATAGTTGAATTGAACAAATGGAGTTTTAAATTGTTCAGGATGAAAACTAATTATTTCTTAAGTTAGCAAATTTTTGAGTTACTAAATTTATTATATCTAATCCCAATTTGAAATGGAAGATTTAATTTAATTATTTTCAGTCTCACATTACTAATATTGGATAAATAAATTTTAAAACTAATTAATTGTATATTAAATATAATTACATCTTATTTTAAACTTTCAATAACTGAAGCAGCTTTTAGAAGCATTTACTCTTTTTCCTATAATTAAGCCTCATAATAATCCATTATTCTTATTTTATTATACAATTAATTAAATTTGAATATTATTAATATTTGCAATATAAATTATATTCAATGAAAATTTAGAATGAAATCACTTAAGATTATTTAATAGAGGTTAATCTCTTTACTTATTTATTGATTTTGAATAATATATATATTTTATGAAAATCTTATAGTTTCCTTTAATAATAATAATATATTAAATTATGAATATTAAATTTAAATATTTTTTAATTATATTTCACATACCTTATTCAAATCTTTTTATGGCATTATAAACTTAAGCATCTAATAAACTTTCATGAGGTAATAATATTAAAGCTTATCTAATGGCTCTGATTTATCTTTACAATCTTTTTGTACTATATGAGATCACATAAAATAATATAAAAGCTGTACTAATCCCATAAATAATTGTATAGATTAAATAATTGTAATAATCCAATTCTAAAATGTCTACAGAAGTTATTATAATTGTATCATAAAATAACTCAATTGCTTTATTTAAATCATAAAAATAAGGCAATAAAATTTGATAATATTCTTGAGTTTTTAAGAAATTCTTAATTTCATCAATATTAGTTTCTAAATCTCCATTTAATTCCTTAACAAATTTACTTGCAAATAATGCTGAAACCCTAATAAATTAAATAATAAATTTACTCTTAATAAATTCCATTAAATCCCTATTTTAATCTTTCTCTATTATCATTGATTTCCTCTGGTATTGGATAATTAGGAAAATAAGTGAATTTACCATTTTCATATGAACAAAATGGTAATTGTTCAGGAATATAAACACATAAATCATTTTAATATAATCCTAATAATAAATCTTTATTTGTTTCACTTATTTTATTTGAAGCTACAATGTTTTAATAAATACTTGAATAAAGATCTTTTCCAGCTTCGTAACTACTTTTAAATTGATCCAATAAAATCTAATTATTAGTAATAAAAAATCCATCCTTTTTGTTATATTCTGGATTTCTAATATATATACCACTTTAAATTTAAAAATTATTTATTAATGGTTCGTTTTTCATTAACTAACCAATAATCATTGTAGCATCGAATTCCTATTTGAATCTTACAAATTACATACATAAATTTAGTTCTGGATAAGAATTCATAATATTAATATATTAGAATAAATAAGAAGATAATACAAATGATGTCATTATTAACCAAAGTAAAAATAACATAAAATAGATATGAATTACAGAATACTATGTTTCTTAAATTCTAATACTAATCTTAACTCTCTATTATAGTTTTTATTATTTTTTATTAATCTAATCTTATTATTACATTCTCTATATCTTTCTCAATTATGATATTCTACATGAGAAAAATTCTTTAAAATAATTTACTTTTTTCCATTTGTTGATATCATTTTGTAATATCTCCTTATAAGATTTATATTTTAACAATAATAGATCTATGTCTTTTTCTTAAACTCTCTAAATCATAAGAAGAATATTCTATTTATAGATATAAGGATCAATCCAAAGTCCAAATTGTAATAAAATTGCAACTATAATTATAAGTAATTCAATGAATAACAATATTAAATAAAGTAACTCATAATTTTCAATATTAGTAAAAAACTCATCTACAATATTTTCTATTAAATTACTTACAAATTCTAATAAATTATTTAAATTAGCTTTTAAAAATAACAATCTAATTTATTCATTAACTTATTCTTACTACTAATCAAAATTAAAAAGTTAATCTAATGCCTCAGTGTATTCATTTACCATTTAATTAAATTATAAAATTGAAATGTTAAATTAATCAAAACTATATTAATTTACTATTTTAACTTAAGCTTAATTTAGTTTACCTTATTGATCTAATTTTGAAAATTCTTTTTCAATTTCTACAATTAAAATTAACAATTTTTCTCTTAAAATATTACTATCTTATTCAATACGGTGATCATAATATTCTCCATGTGAAATATTCAAAAATTTGATTTCTACATCCATTTAACCAAGTACTGTAAATGTATTATAGATTCTACTAAATTCATCTGGTAATCCTACTAATGAAATTTAAAATTATAAATTATTAGTATTATTTTTAGATATGACTAATTAAAGAGCAATTAAGAATAATAGAATTATAAATAAAAAAAATGTATTTATAAAAACTTTAATAAGAGTTGTTTAATATCTTTAACTATATTATAAAGTTCTTAAAATATTAAAAACAGACAATTATGTTCTATCTGATGTTCCACTTGATTATGATTATTTTGCATTATCTTTAAATTCTTGATCCAATTCTTTATATTATTGAATTGCTTAAACCATATCTGGTTTATTATTATTTTATTAAGAACTACTTTTTGGAGCGTCTTAAAATTTTTAATCTTCATCTTCATAATCATCAATTCCAATTAATATTTCTTTATTGCCTCTTGGCGAAATCAGTTTAAATTATTCATTACTTTAATTATATATTGGATATTTATTTTAACTTTCTTCTATTTTTGAATCTTGAATTTTACTTAATTTATTGATTATTGGTGGATTTATATACAAATTTTCATTATTATCATTCATTTCATGTTCAAAAACTAAACAGCTTTCTGTCTTTTCTTCATTAATTGTACTCTTTTTTATAGTACTATAAAAGCTCATTGAAAATTTTTATCCTTGTTTTTTTGGATTAATTTTTTCAATTTCATTAATTTAAATTACAAATTATGGTAGAAAATCACCACCAATTACATTAAAAGATATAGAATATTTGATTAAGTATAAATTATTTTAATCACTATATTTACTCTAATTATATTTAGTTAAAAATTCGTTTATAAATGAAATATTTTATTCTTTTAAAAAATGAATAGAATTAATATTACCAAATGAAATCATTTATTCTGTTTCATTTAAATCAGTATAAAATTTTTATGATTCTTTATTTTTAGCTGTGCTATTTGATCTACTAAATTCATGATCTTAACAAAGTTATATAAAATTATTAATAGAGAATATTTATTAAGATTTAAGAATACTTTTTGTTTACATATCTGGTGATGATAATAATTATGTTTTCTCTTCTGTGATTAATTCAAATATATTAGGAATCCAAAAATAAATGTATCCTCTATTTAATAATTATTCTATACTAAAATCTATACCCAAAATATGAAAAATTTATTCACTTATTCCTAATATCTTTCCTTTTCTATCAAAAATAATGAAATCATAACTTTATTTCACTTTTTAGAGTACTCCAGTAATGATATAATCGGAATCAAATTCATACATATGTATTAAATTCATATTAACTGGTTTAATAAAATTGTTTTTTATTTTAATATAAACTTCTTTCTACTATTAAAAAAATGATGAATAACCTTTATTCATATATCTTGACAAAAGTTTATCATGAAATTATTAAATATATTAAGGCATCAATTATTCAATAGTAGTGATATTAGTGAAATCTTTATCATTTTCATATCCAAAAAACTATGCAATTTAACCTCTGTTTTTATTTAAAATTAAATTCTTTTGTTTTACAAAGCTTACTGCAATCATTATTAAATCTTCATTAATAAGAGTAATATTATTAATATATTCATTTTATGAATTTTTCTCATATTAAACAATTTCCTCAACCTTCTATTCAATATCTAGAGTAGCATGATAATCATTTAATATTGCAGAATATAAAATTGCTAATAATTTTAATTCTAGTACATTAAAATGAATTAATCTAGATTATAACTTCATTGGTTCTATTGAAAAACGTTAAAAAAAAGAATCTCTAATTTACCATATTTTTAAGCTTAATTTATAAGTACTCATTGCAAATTCTTCAATTTTTTGATAACCTTTATATAAATCCATCCAATACTTAATTTTCATATCTAATATTTCAACTATTAAATTTATTGAATCTTCATATAATAATTCAGCTTTACGAATATCTATTAAGCATAAACTTTTATCTTAATCATTAAATTATATTTTTCTTTTTGAAATCTTTTCTTAAAGTAAATTAGATATTAAAGTAAAATAAAGAGATTGTCTTGAAGAATTTGCTATAAATTTTTTTAATTCGATATATCCTAATGAAACTCTTTTACAAGTATTTGTTAGATAAAGAATTTTATAAAGTTATAATTTTTCAAGAGTAGATAAATCTTGAGTTTTAATTTAAGCAATTACTATTTCAAAAAGTTATATTACTGTAGATTAAATTCGAAGATTAATATTTTCATTATCTATAATTATTTTTAATTATTATTTAATGTGATATAAAATAGAAATCCTTTGAAGTTGATTTGTGTCTTTATAATTAATAACATCAATTATTGCTAATAATTTATTTAATCCCATTTAATAACTAAATATTTAATTGTTCATTTGTCTTAAAAATATTTATGATAATATAACGGTAATGAGAGGTACTAAAAGAATCAAATAATAAAAGGTTTCTTCTTATGATATTTGAAATGATAATAGTTTAATGATTGAAACACAAAATGAAATAGATGTTGCACTAATATATTTTAAATTAACATGATAGCAATATGGTTGTATTATAAATGAATCAATAATTAAGAGAATAGACATAAATATAATTAAAATAGATGAAATTAATTCATCAAATATTTAAATAGCTATCATTATTGAGAAATCAAATATAATCAGTAAGATATTATAATACGAATAACGTCTAATATATATATTTTTCTATGGTAAAAGGTAGTTTCGATGAAGTAGGAAAAATAAAATATAACAAAGTGTTAGAGGTATCAAAGTGAATATTCCAATCAATAAATCTTAATATTGAGAAATATGTGTATCAACATGTTCAATTAAAGGGATTAGTATCAATAATTAATAAAAGGTGAAGTAACTTCTTAGTAGAAATTTCCATTTCATCTTTGTCAACATTAGAATTATAATGAGCCATAAATATATACACATGATGTACATCACAATTTTACTAAAATTTTAACTGTTAATTAATTGTATAGGTGTTTAGAGTGTAAACCAATTGAATAACTATTAGAGGAATCTAAGTTTGTAATCATTATATGGTTTATCAGCAAACTTATCAAAAGTAAATAAAAGGCTAATTCTTTAGAAACAAAATGTTATCATTATTATTGTACTATTAATATCAGTCTAACTCTCAGATATTATTTCCACCATCTCTTAAGCTCTATTTCTTAAATACTGAACTAAAAGATTAGAGTACATTTTAAAAAATAAATATTTAATTCATATTTATAAATTCATATTGAGTTCTTTATCAATAATATCGAGAATAAAGTACTTTTAATTGATCGAACAATTTAATTAATTTGAATTTTATATATCAAAAATAATATATAATAAAAGAGGAACTAGTTAATTGTCATTAGAAAATTTGTTAATAATTTACATTATATTAATTAATGAAAAAGTATAAAGAAATCCATTATCCAATTATAAACTAAAGACTTTTTGAAAAGTATTGTCAATCTCAAAATTATTATTACACACGAGATATTAATGAAATTCTAAGTGATGCTACTACAAAAGGGGTAATCAGATATAAAGATTGTAATTGTTATGATGAAGAAGTATAATGATATCTCTATTTAGGATGAATACTTAAAACGTATATATAAGAAAAGTGAATATCCTTCCAAAATTTAATTGTTAGCTGAATATTACAAAGTATATTTACAATAATTAAAATTATAGTTTCATAGTGATATTGCAAGAATATTTTAAGAACCTGTGGCTTCTATGTTAAATAAATATTATGATAAAAAGAGAAAATATGAGTATTATAGAATAGCTAAACTTATTGAAGATGAGAATAAGAAAAATCCTCATAAACCACCTAAAGGAATTGTTGGAGATAAACCATCACCTTTAAATTCATAAGAATCTAATGAAAATAATCAATAAGAATAAAATGAATCAAATCTAGACAATATTTAAATATTAAAAGAATTAAGTTGGTTAAATAAATTATAACAAGTATTTTCTTATTTTATATAAATAGTAAATAGATAAACCAATTAGGATTAAACTTGATGTATCACAAACTTTAAATGAAATTTGTAAATAAATTGGTAATTGCGATGAATAATCTTCACTATTTATTCCATAAATTTCTAAAACAGAAGATGTTAAATTAGAAAACTTTCTCGCATATTTAAATAAAAAATAACTTAGTACAAAAAAATATATTAATTAACCATCTGATTAACTTATCTAATCACTATTATAATTATAATAACCAAAAAACAATATTAATAATTAGAAAAAAATTGAAATCAATCATTTATTAAAAACATAAAATAATGAATTATCAAATAATAACAAAAATTATAATTTTGTTAAAAATTAATTAGATTATCTAAAAAGAAAACAAGAAAAAAATAAAGTATCTATTGATGAAATGGCTACTAAAATTGATAGTAGATTAAGTGAATCTTTAAAATAAAAACCTAAAAAATAATTAATAACAAATAAAACTAATCATAAAAATACATCACCTACAGCTCAAATTAATCCAAAAATTACAATTGGATCATTTACAAATATTAAGACTTAACAATCTTAAACTAATTAAAATAAAAATTATCTTGCTCAATTATTAATTGAAGAGGATTAAATTGTTTTTGATAGAAAATGGAAAAATGGAGCTTTAACTCATCGCCCTATATCTGGAACTTAAAATTTTTTTAATTCAGATAGAAATAGCCCTTTTTTTAAGAAAATGAAATCAGAAAATTTTAAATTTTAAAAAGCAAAAACTCAACATTAATACAACAATAATTTAAATACTAATAACTTAATGAATAATAATCCAAAATCAAGAAAAACTACTTCTTAAAATATTCATATAAGACAAACTTCAAATTAAGAAAGATTAAACACTTTTCATAATCATGATTTAATTGATTACAAGTATAAGAACTCTAAAATAATGTTTTAAGAATTAAAATAATTTTCAGGACATAAAAAACATTTATCTGATAGCAGAGGTTTATATTAAAAAGAATAACAAAATGATAATTTAATATGTTTGACTGAAAGAGGACCTAGTCTAGAATTTCTATTTAAAAACAATCTTAACTATCAAAGTTCTCCAAAAGCACATAATTTTAAAAAAATGAATAGTGGTACAATAGTTCCATCGAAACCCCCTAATCCTTATGAAAAAGGAACTTTAATTTAGTAAATGATAATAAAAGTAGCTAAGTAAAATTAATAACAATAAATTAATAATAATAACAAGATATCATAAAAACATTCTTGACTTTTATTTTTGTTATTATCAATCTATATAATATAAATATATAATTTTTTATTAAGATGAGTTTTCACTCAAACTATTAATCCATTTAAGTAAATAAAGATCGTATTGATACTTAAAGAGAATTAGATCGCTAGTTTACTAAAGGTATAATTAAAAAAAATAGTATGGCTTCAAGAACAAAAAGTATAGGATAAAGAATTTTAAATTTTGTTAGCAAATAAATTTCAGTTGATTATTAAGAGAGATTAGTATTAAAAAGTATGTAAGCATAAAATGTAAATGCTAAGAAGTTTATTGAAATTTTATTAAATAGAAAACACAACCTAAAAAATTTAAACCATAAACATTTAACAATTATTAATGATAGTTCATTAGGAAGTATTGATAAAATATCAACATAATCAACTTTTAAGATTTTCATAGACAGACTATTAAAAAAAAGACTTCTAAGTATTTTTAAACCTTTTATTGAATGTTTAACTCATTACATTATGGCTATCCCAATAGTATATCCAGAAAATAGAAGGATTATAATTTGGGATGTCATAGCAATAATATCAAAATTATATTTCTTATATTTAATACCTTTAGAATTGGCTTGGACTGATTAATCTCTTTTGTTTAATAGGTATTACACTTCAACTATAATTATGCTAATTATTTTATTTATTGATTTTTTAATTGGATTAAATACTGCATATTATAATGCAGGATCACTTATTACTGATAGAGCATAAATATTTAAACATTAAATAATAAAATCTTATGGTTTCGAATGGATATCTACTTTATTATTAGCTACACTTTTTATAACATTTAAATCTATTGAAATTACAACAATTAATGTGACTTAAAATCCAAGTTATTTAGTTTTATTGACAGTATTATCACATTAAATAAGTGTACATTATAAAGCTAGTGAATATGAATAAGCTTTAAATTTATCAAAGAAGGTATCAAGTTGCATTGAATTATTAAAATTTTTATTATTACTATTTTATGTCATTCATTTATTTTCATGCTTATGGTTTTGGGTACAAATAATTTTTAAATTAGGTTGGCAATTATAGTAGAGAGAAAAATGATTAGAATTGGTTAGATTCTCTAAAAGATGTTCCCATAATGGATTGGACAGATGAGTATTTATAATCATTTTATTATACTTGTGTAACTATGTTTACAATAGGATATGGTGATATATCACCTAAAAGTGGATTAGAAAAATCAACATGTATTTTTCTTATTTTGGTCTCAAGTATTCAATTACCATATTCAATAAATACTGTTGGTTCAATAATTGAAAAAATAACTGATTATGGAGAAGATACGAAAAATAAATTAAGAACTATTAATAGTTATATGAATAAAAAGTAAGTGCCATATTATTTGTAAAATCAAATTCGATAATATTTAAATCATTATTGGCAATCTATACAAGGATAAGATACAGAAGAAGAAAAAGTAATAATATCTCAGTTGTCTGAAAGTCTAAGAGAGTAATTAATAATATAAGCCAATAGTTAAATATTTGCTAAGGTTACTTTATTATAATAAAACTTTAGCATTTAATTCTAATAAAACTTATTGAAAAAAGTTTTTTCTTTATAACTTTAGCCAGAATAAATTATAGATTTAGATAATAATAATATTTAATTTTATTTTGTTGATGATGGAGAAATTGATGTATTAATGGAATCAGGATAAATATTAAAAAAAGCAAAAAAAGATGATATCTTTGGTTTAAGAAATTTATTTGTTGGAAATATTATATAGAATAAGAAACTTAAAAGTGTTGGATTCACTAAATTATTAGTTTTGTCTAGAAATGATTTTATACAGGAACTCAAAGATTTTCCAAATGATTATGAAAAGTTTTGCCATATTAAAGATGATTTAATTTACAATTACAGATCTTCTTATATTCACAAACAATGTGAATCATGTTTATCTTCGGAACATGAAATCAACAATTGCCCTATGCTTCATTTTATTCCACAAAAAGATCTTATTATAAAGAGGTGTTAATATGCCTTATTATAAAAAAGAAAAGTATTTTGTAGAAGACCCTTTAAATCATAAAGATTATAAACTGATTAGATTGATAGTTTAGATTTTAATGAAATCAAATAATCATTTCTTAAAAAATACTACCTACCTTAGTAATAATAATTAACAACAAATAATATAAATACAATGTCATTCTAAAATGGAATACCAGAAGATTTTCGAGAATCTAGAGAGTCAAAAGAATCAAAAATTGAATATTAATCAACTTCTGTAGCTAAAGTAAGTTTAAAAAGAGATTCATTATTAGCTTTATCATATATTCCAGGTGATCATATTGAATAAATTAAAAGAAGCATAAATAATCATAATTAAGTCAGACTAAATAAAACAATCAACAGTAAACAACTCGATTATCAATTAGATGGAATGGGATTATAAAAATAAAATAGTTTAGCTTCAAGAAGATAATCATAAGGATTAAATATTTTGAATATGTATTAATAAGGATTAAATAATTAAAATAATAATAATCATTTTAAATAAAATTATACTTAAGAACTTTTATCAACCAATTACTATGAAATTAATATAGATGAAGAATTAAAATAAAGGTATGAATATATAAAATCAATTAAAAATATGAATCTAAATGATAAGGAATCTATTGAATTATTATATTTTAAATTGTAAAATCAATAAAAATATATCAAAAAAGGTTTAACAGAATTTGAGGTTAGTAAGAATTTTCATGATTATTATCCTCAACACAATGTTGAAAAATAAATAAATAGAATAAATCATAGCTCAAATTTTAAACTTTAGGAATTAATTAAAAAATTTATTTCTTATTTACAATATCCAGCTGAATTTATCAAAACTTATCATTTGTTACATTCTCAAAAGATTGATACCAACAAAATAATTTAGTAAGAAAATATTTGAAAATAATATTTGACTTTATTTTTAAACAATATTATTTTTTTTATCATTCAATTCTTAGCCAAAAGAATTCATTTAAATCTTAATGTATAAATAAAATTAAGTATAATTCAAGGGAGTAGATTAAAAAGATTTAAAGAGGATATTATTATGAAACGAATAATTGAAATTCTCTCAACCAGGCCCTACCTTTAGCTTTCATCTTCGTATAAAAAACTTATTTTCTATATTCTTTTTTCATTTAGTGGAAATCACAATGAACTAAGTAAAAATAATTTTGAAAAGTTAATAAGAAAAATTGAAATATATAAATTAATATTCAGCGAGTAATTAATATAATATTATTATTGTTTCTCGTTTAAGAAAAAAAATTAATTAAAAACTTATTCTAATTATTGATTATATAAGAAAAGCTAAATTAATAAATATATTTGAAAAATTTTTTTTAATTATGAAAAATAGACTAAAGATAAATTAAAGGCAATAAATATGAAAAAATGAAGTATAAAACTTATGCTATATTTTTATTTTTGAAAGATATATTTTATATTTGATTTATTTTTTTTATATATAAAATCATTGATTTTAAGAAATTTTATATTCGATTCGTTATATTTATTGTCTGAAATTGAACTATAATTGTAATCATAAATTTTATAAATACACTGATTAATTTTACTTGCCTTTTTGTTGAATGGGGGAAATAAAATTTATATTCTATTTGGGATATTTAATGTTTAAAATTGAGCTATTTTTGTATTTATTTCTATATTTCGAAATTCAAAATATAAAAAGTGTATTTATTTATTTAAATTTTCTAAAGTCTATTCATAACTTATAATATATACAAAGTAAAATAAAAAGGTATTTTAAAATTAAAAATATTATCGAACATAAATTAAGTTAAATGAAAAGAATAA